TGAATGCAGAAATGCCAACTTCTAGCCAATGGCTACATGGACAGAGCAACACGTCTCGCACGGGAAGGCTGAGGGTCTCAAATATCTTGCAAAATGCCGTGATAATAGCTGTAATGGCCCATCACCTTGACTTTTTTAAAAAAAATTTTCAACTCCTTTATGGGAAAGTTGTGTCAAATACATATTCTCCCCCTTAATCTAAAGGGAACACTGGGACTGACATATTTTTCCATGTGATTTCCTTATTCTGTCTCTTGCGAGTGTGGTGTTTCCTCTATATTACCTAGAAAAGTTATGCCAGAGTAATTCGTTGGAGGCTGAGTTTCGTGCCCTAGATGTACAAGATGCAATTCTTAAATTGAGCAATACTCTACATTTTAGACCTTAAATAAAACTGAATTCATTCTGTCTTCTCACTAGAAGTGAACATTGAGCCTACTGTTTGTTATCAAGTGACTCAGAATACAGAAATGTGATTTCAGAAGGAGAAAAGCTGCAGCAGCATTTGGCCTGTACATAGGAATGGGCTGGTAAGACTGGAGAGATGTTGGCTGCAGCGGTGGCAGATCAGACTGCCGCACTCCTCCTGTGCTCACATACTCACGTACTTAAGTGTGTGTTGTCAATCTAGGAACGGCTCAGAAGCAAGAAGGTACTAATGCACAGAGGCTGAGAGATTCTGATACGTGGAGGAGAAACATGGATTCAAGAATGAGGTTAGGTGCTTAGTCAGGGGCTGAAAGTTGTGTCTGTTCAGACTTCGGTTCTCTGTCAAAATCCAAAGTCCTGTAAGGCTCCAGAGGAATAGATTACAACACAAGTGGAAGGTAAATAACAGGCTTTGAGCTTGGGTGGTTGTGTTTAGTTTTGTTTTTTTTCCTTCCCAAGTTGTATTGGTGCATCTTGCCTGGATGCAATGTCTTACCAGCACTAACACTGGGGCAGCTTTAATATTTCTGTATTAGTGATCACTATTCATGTAACCTACCAGTCACAGTAGCGGGAAGCGGAAGGGAAGGCCGTGGATATTACATGAGTTTATCTAATTACAAAACAGGAGGGGACATCTGGAGGGGAGAATCAGCAATTTTAAAAACGGGCTGCTTCATTTAACCATGATTAAGAAAGAATTGAGTCATTGCTGAACGCATTACCACTGCTAACTTTCTGGGGGAGAAAACATGACTTAGGAAATGAGGACTTCAAGAAGGCAGACTGGGTGATGACAAGAGGAAAAGCTGAATCATAATCATAGTGGTGAAGTTGGCATGATTTATGGCTTGTGATGATTAACCTATTTAAAAAAAAATAAACAACTGAGTTTCAATAATAATAAAAAAGCTAAGTTACAGAACAAGGGTTTTAAAAAGAAATACAACTGGGACAATGGCAAAATCATACTTCAGGTTATAATAATTAAAATAGCTATCCCAGATTTAAAACCAGAAAGAATGGATTCCAAAGGAAGTGAAAGCAACTACAGAAAATGCAGAATTTGAGTATCAAATGTTTGGTAAGTAATCCAGAAGAGGCCTCTTGTGTTTTTAAGATTATTCTTTAAAGACTGTATGCTTTCTATTGGTTATGGAATGAACTAAGGGAGAACTTAAAAAGCAACGTATCAGTAAACACGGAGGTCAAACTGAGTTGAGAAGGAATCTCAGTAGTGTAATAACATGCAGAGTTGAAGATAAACATTAAGTTTTCAATTAAGAGGCATGGTAATCAGTCCAATCAAGGGCACCACAGAGTAAATATGTTATTTGCTGCTTTAGTTCCTTGAACTGTTTTTAGCTTACTCTATCCTTGGAGGAATTCCTGATTTTTTTCTTGAATGCTCTAAAGTAAAATTGCCCTTTCATGACAACTGAAATGGAAACCAATTATCTAGCAATTCCAAGAAAACAAAAGGTACACAGATATTAAGATGCCTATCTTAAGCTTCTCGAACACACAAGATTTGAACTGTAATCCTTTTTGGCATGGTGCAAGACCTTCCTTTTTAGTTAGATAGCAAAACCTACCACACTTGTAACTCCCACATTGTTCCAGTTGATAATTAAATATCTTAGCTCCTTCAAATACCCTACATAAATATTATTTGGCAGTGGTAGAGGTAGTCAGCTATCCCTGAAAAACTACCTGATCGTGTACTTAGATAATCACAAACCTGCTTGAGCAGTATAAATCCAGTTTATAGTAGCTGTGAGTAGTATGTGGGCACTGGCTTACAATAACAAAAGTCAAATGTTAACAGAAGTGCCAGAGCAGTGATCTCTACACCTTAAGTACAGTGAATACTAGAAGAACTGAGTAGCGTTGTACCCTGTTACATCCCTAACCAGTAACTGAGGATGCTGGGAGGGTAGAAAGGGAATGGCTTGTGAGCTGTCTGTGCTATAGCCTGTTCTTTGGCCATTGTTGAAAAGAGACTACTCGGCTAGATGGACCATTCAGTCTGACCGTTGGGCACTTGCATTCTTCACTCCTGCCTTCCAGCAGAAGATAAGAATCAAGCCCTTGGACTATTGCTTTCCAGCATGACAAGAATGGTACTTATTGCAGTGATACCCAGCCAGCTGAGAAAGTTGATTTAGTAAGTCATTACTTACTAAACTTCTCCAGGCTGTGGGATTAGTAGGAAAGAAACAGATTCAAATGCATTTGTTCAGTTTCAACTTTTGTTTCTGTGCTCACAGCTTAGAACGACTATTCTCAGGCTGCTGAAGTAGTACTTAAATTGTCTGCTTTTTTTGGACTGGTGGAACATAAGAAATCAGAAAGAATTTCTTTAATCTTGCCACTGATTTTTTTCCTGTGCACCTGACAAAGTATAGGCTTATTAAGGAAGTCAGGGAAGGTACAGCATTTGGTACAGCACTATTTACAGCCAGCAGCTCATGTCTACAAAGTCGAGATTTTTCTGATAAACGTATCTCCAGTTTTGCCTAACCTAAGTTATTAGTTAAGCATACCAATTTAGTAAAGGCATAAGCCATTGCAGGCATCTCAGGCACTCCACTTTAGTAAAGATGCAACTCTTCACATAAGTCATCTTTCCACCCAACGTCTCTGTGGTGTTTTTTAAATACATAAGAGTTCATATATTATCGCTACCCCTTATCACTTAAAAGTGAATTAACACTTTTAAAATGTTGAACACAGGCATAGTTTTGTCCTGTTATCTTACTGCTTAGAAGCTCTTTGGGACTAACTGCAAAAGTACAGGCAATATAAATCAGTACTTAAATTATATATTACATGTTTATTGTGGGTGCAAATTTTTTAAAATTTACATTTTATGAAAAATCAGAAGTATTTACAATTTTTGTAAGATAAAATTGTATGCTCTAATTTACAGTCTGACGTAGTAACAATTCATAAAACTTCAGATCCTTTAGAGCTGTGTTTACAAATTAATTTTCTTAGGAGGCAGCTACAACGGATATTGCTGTATACACAAGCAAGAACCAGCTTGCTACATTTTTTTTTTATCAGATAGCTACATGTACTTTTTACATCGCTTTTGAACTTTACAAAAAGTCTATATAAACTTGTATGGCTTCAAAATTGTAACCTGCACCCAAAGCAAATGTATGTATAATCACCTGAATGAAGACTAGTTTAAAAGTGCTGAAACATAGCTACTTCATTTAACTTCAGAAATGAAAGTAATACTTGATTAAAAATAGCAATAGTTTGGGGTTTTCATTAATAAAATATTGTCACATTAAACAGAGTTTGATTGCAAAGCAGATTACAATTAAGATTCCAGTAAAAAGACTGTACCATTTTATGAGTTAGAAATTTACCCTTCAATAAGAGTAGCAAATTAAGAGCCAAATACACTCTTCCAATCAAATCTACAGTACAGTACGTGCTTAGCGCTAACAACAGAACTCTTTGTCTGCAAAAGTGTCTAGTATATATTAGAATTTATGTAGCCTCTACAAAGCTTAATTTCTTGTTAAGCTTCAGCAGTCCAATTCATTACTGGTTCTGCATGAATTAGTTCAAGCACATTTTATTGTTTTAATAGAGAATTTGAAATAGATACAGGTATTCAAAATGGTCATATGAAATTCCCACGTGCAGCTTATGGAATTATTTTGCCCCAATACTTTTGATCTCAGCATTGAAAAAACACTTGATAATACAAATACATAGAAGATTTTTCTAAATTAGCGACTTGCTTTAAAAAAATGTTACGTATGTGTCTCTTCCCTGTGTTTAGGCTGTGGCAAGCAGATTAGATGACAGTACAAATATTAACATTGGTGGTTATAGAAAAAAATTCAAACTAATAAAAATGGCAGTACTTGTCAGCCTGCTGCCATAAAATACCCTTCTAAAATGCTATTCCTCACAAAGTACTATGTTTACATTCACATCACACAACCCCAAAAGCACTCAAAGTCCGAAGACTTGTAGTCAAAGTGAAGGGAAATGCTGTTTGCTTTTTAAAGTTCGCTTTTACCATCTTCAGTGATTTTTCAGGATTCTCATCTTTGGTGACATTAAAATTACTGTCTCAAAGTTTCAAAGTCCTGCATGATGCATCTCCCTTTACCACAACCACACTTATTGCAATTACCCCATGAGGAAGTAATCCAGTATTTTAAACCTCTTTTAAAACAATCCCCAGTTTTTGCAAATCTGCCTTCTAAATAAATCCCAGTAAAAGGAATTTTTATAAAGTTGTGTGTATTATACAAACACTGTGCTTTCTTGATGAAGAGCCAAACTTTGAAAAAGTGAAGCGAAGCATGTGAATAACAAATTGTATAGGCATGGGCTTTTTTTAAAGGCACAAATGTTATGCAATTCATATAAAAATAAATTAATCTACAGCATTAATTCAAACAATCACAACGCCCATAAAATTTACTAACTGCAGAAGTAAATCTCTGCTGTCTTTTGCAATTTTGTAACACATTGCACTTAGGAAAAAACCCTATATAAAACAACTTACATGTTAATAATACATGATACATGGGCATCAAGTTATATTTCTTGTATACATCTCTAACTCAGCTGGTTTTGTGGCATGAGTGGATAGAAGAACTACATGAGACTTTGCCTCTGCTTTCTTCAAAAACTGACAAAGAATCTAAAAAATGAGTATTACTTATGGAAAGCTCAAATATTTCTTAACTCGCTCTCCTACATTTTTAGGTTTAATGTTTACAGTATAACATACAATTTCATACTTTCATTACAACTATGGATTACTATTTTGACTTCATCTACATAAATTTATTAGAATTTCAACAAATTTTCCCCAATATTGCAGTTGATCATTTACAGACAGTGTTGAAGTTAACTTCAGTGCTATTATAAAGTAATACGAAGTTTGCAAAATGACTTTAAAAAGTGCATTTTCTGTTCTGTAGTTCAGCCTCAAAGTAGGTCAACATTTTGAAAAAAATTAATGCACATTACAATAGTGTTTGAAAAGTAAAGACGGCAGAGTGAGCTTTTTGCACTCCTTTGATCCAATGACTTTCACAGGTACATCAGCAGTCTGCCATATACCGTCCTGAAAAATAAAGGTAGGTTTTTTGCAGTCAGTAGATAGAACAGATTTTGTCAGTATTTTCCTGGAAGCAGATTGACTAACTATGGAAAACCAAAAAAACCCTGTGAAACAGCTTTCAGGCAAGCAAGTTTTGTGAAAAGTAACTATTTATGCATCACTTATTTAACAGTTTCATATTCTGTAATTTAACACTACAGAATATACAATATTAATTTGAACACATAATCACATCAGTGTCTTACCAGTGGCAAATCTTTTCTTAAGGAGTGAAAGCCGATAGCCAGTGCCTACGAGCTCTACATCTACTCCTGAAAGGGTGCTTCCTTCACTAATGAATTGCACTGCAAGTGTTGCTGGTTTACTGGGTCCTTCTGAAAGTTCAAATTTTGCTCTGAGGGATCCAGAACCTATGAAAATAAAACTGAAAAGCTGGTTGTTTTGCAAGAACAAGAAGATCTCCCAAAATTTTTAGTAGTAAGTGAAACTAACATGGTGACCTTTGAGATCTATTCCCAGCAGAACTCCTACCTGTTTTCAAAAGAGATGAGAGTGCAAGTCTTGTTTTTTCCAATACTCTGTTTCAGACAATGACTAGTGAATGATTTAAAGAGAAAGGATCCACATTTCCGCAAGATTATACAGAATGTATCAGCCTGGTAATCAGTTATTGCTTGAAATACCTGATTGGTCCCTATAATCATAATTTATGCTTGCTGGTTTGTAAGTACCTAATACCACCTATCTTGTATGTAGTACTTTTCATTAGCAGATTTGAAAATACAGCAGAATATTTAAATGTTGTCATGATCTGTCTGGATGAATGTACATGAACAAAACCATTGGAAGAAATGCAGCTATACAAGTAATGTACCCAGAAGAAAGAAATTCTTATTTTTCTAACAAAAACAAGGTCTCATTAAATACTTTTCCCCACAATTTCAGCTGATTTTTCAGAGACAGTCATGAAGTGTCATCACTTTGATGCTATTAGAAAGCAGTAATAGTTCAAAATTACTTTAAGTACATTCCTGTAGTCATTGCAAGGCATTTTAAAAAACCCACAACATTGTTACTAGTCTCTTTGTCTAGTTCTTAAACAAGTCTTTTCTCATTCTTGCAAAATATGCTTCGAAAAATGAGATTTAAATAATTAATAATGGAATAATGAAAATCAAGTATTTTTACTACTTTGAAACAACTTGCTATTCCTTTCCAATAGGAACTGTAAATGACAAGGAAAGTTAGTAACTGAAATGTTACTGAGGTAAACCCAGGAATTAATGAATGACATTGTTTTATGCAATAGCCTGTTAGTTAGTTTAATTTGGCTTAAAGTCCATTCCATTTCTTCAGCAGGTCTGTCACAGTTTGGGTAAACTGGAACTTCTTTCCACTGTAAGTATGGAAACACATATATTCAAGTGCTTTGAAAGTTTGTTCTGTGTTTTATCTCTGTCTGCAGTTGACAGCTCACATAATGTGTTGAAGCATAAAAAAAAAAAAAAAAAAAAGTTTTACCCCCCTGTACACCAGAACAAAGAAGATTTCCAGACATTCCTCCTAATATTAACGGTGTTTGTGCAACTTCTCCTTTTGTTTCTGTAAAACCAGCATAGTATTATTCCCTCTTAAACACTGCATTGTGAGTACTATGTGTTTATACTCAAAGAAAAGAGGATGGAAGTTGGTGGGAAGAGAACGGAATATAGCAGAAGCAGTGGGAGTCTACCGTGCTACTTGCACTGTCTAATGTGCAAGCCTACTGAACACACACAAGATGCAACCCGCATCACTGGCAGCCCATTTTATGCTGCCCTGTACGTACACAGTAGCTCTTCATCTGTCTGCACGTGTGTTTCAGTATGATTTTTTTTTTTTAAAAGAAGCTCCACAGTTTGGAAAAGGAAAAAAAAAAAAGAGGTCTGTCCCTATGTAATCATAACAGAAGACAGATGGCAAAGAACTGTGAGGTCAGTGAAGGACAAAGTACACCAGGCTACAGCAACAACCTCTGTCAGATAAAATTACCTCTGATTTTGCTTGAATGATGACCACAACTTTGCAGACTTTGCAGGAACAGAAGAGATCCTTCCTTTCCAGGCTTATGATTTCTTTATGAAACCAGTCATATTTACAAGCAAATCTGTACTTTCAAAATTCACTTCACTAAATTCTTAACAGGGCTAAAGGCCTTTCCTTTACACCACAAGTTCATTTCTCCAAAGAGGCTTTGAGGATGAGATGCCTCCCTTTGGCCCTGTTTTTCTGCTTCAGAAACACATTGCACCTGCAGAGGCTGCAAGGGCTGTGACATCAAATGGACCTCAGCGAAGGCAGCAGGGCAGAAGACAACTATTGCTACCTTACAAAAGCTATATAAATTACCACTCTGAGCAGATGTGCAGAGATTCTTTTTTTTTCTCTCCTCGAGTTGTATATGTTCAAAACAAAGACCCTCAAAATATTGGTCAAGAATCATCTATTGTTGAGTCTATCTCAGCACAGGACTTTTTGATCTTTTTTTTTCTTCCCCACAATTCTTCCACTTATTTGTTGTCTGTCTACTTTATTCAATTGCCAGTATGTGGAAAGACACAGATACTAAACATATTTTCCTTTGAATAACTGCTCATTTCCAAATACCATTGATGTAGTAATTTCCTACCCAGTCTAAACTCTATTTTAGAGCTACTAACTGCTTTCAGGGGGCTTCACTATTTTTCCTTTTATAGCTAATTCATAAATTTATATTTTGGCATCTCACAGCTAATGGAATCTCTCAGGAGGAAATTATTTGAGACGAAGGTGAACTGGTAAACAGGATAGAGCATGAGAAGATGTTAAACAGGCAAGAGGGTGTAGAGGCTAGAATGATTACCTTTTTATGGTTATAATTTTTCTGTACAAAAAAAACCCAAAACAAAGAGTTCAACTTGCCTCCATTCTCAGACTTCTCTGAAATGCTAGATATTTTCCAATATGCTTTCATCTGGTCTGCATTCCTGTAAGAGAATGGTAGGTTAGTTATAAACACCAGTTTTAGCACATTATTTCCTTAGATTCACGCTGATATGTTACAGACATCTCTAAAAGGAGGTTTACAAAGATTCTTGATCATTTTAAGGTAAGTTTGTGGAAAACTATACAAAGCAAACAGGAAAAGAGAAGGGTGTGTGTGTCTGCATGCCCCAGAGCAGCAAAGCTCAGAAGCACATGCCACCTTTTCATACGGTTAACACTGTGCTATGCCCTGGCTATGGCTCCGCTACTCAAAACCCTCTGTAGTCCCAAAGGGTAAGGACAGGCCAAACACCCTGGAAGCAGTTTGAAAGGTGAGTCTTTACGCTTCGTGACAATGGTATGAGGGGGAGCAATGTTGATTGCACTCCCCTATGTAAGACTCGTGGCAGCATGAATTTTATTCCACTTCCATTCCAGTAAAACTAGTTGGTGTAAGTGACACAGGGTTTAAGCTAACTTCTGACACTGCAAAGGGGTAGAAAAGGGCACCAAGCACCAAAGGCTCTGAACTGACAATGCATTTTAAATCCTGGAGCACTTTGCAGCAGTTCCATCAAAGGAAAGTCAACAAATTAAAGCTATGAGCAGCATGAAGTGCCGATAGGTTTGAAATTGCTTTTGGCATTGGTGTAGCAGGAGTGAAATGCTCACACAAGTAGCACAGATGCTAGCGGTTACTTGCAGGAAGTCAAGTTATGAAACATTTATTTTTGAAAAAAACAACACCCCACCACCCAGTCCACTAGACCAAACAGGAAGCACAACAGAAACACTAGAGCTGCTTTGGGACATGACTGTATTTTACTTTTTTTGTGAGGAGGTCAGCTTTCCAGGCTCAAAATTCTGGCCTTCGGTAGTTGCCTAGGTGAAAGAGAAGAGAATCGGGGCTCAAGTCCCTTACTCTGCTGAATCTGTAATGAAACTTTCACTAAGGTTTGAGTCCTCCTAGCTAACACTAGGTGTTCTGGGTGGGTTCCTGCTCTCACTGAGGCTTCATTATAGAGGTGTTTGTGAAAGAAGCCTGGGCAGGGAGACTGGCTTCACCAGACATTCTAGTCATGTTGTTCAGGCAGGATACTGAACCTGCCCTTGCTCAGAATAAGCTTAAGGTGATTTGGTTAAAAGTATTGCTCCCTTGAAAGACCCAATCAAGAAAGATTCAGTCTTGCCAGGATTTTTTCCACTTAAAATGATACTGTATTAATACTTTGTCCAGTTAACACATTTAAATGTATTGCCTGCAGAAACATCAGAACCTATCTGATAAATGCATCAGCTTTATTTTTCCACATTATAAAGCAAGGTTCAGAAAACTGATCTATAAGTACAAGGTTAACAAAGCCTCACTTCCTTAAACTTGGTATTCTTTGCTCTCTTCACGTTAAAAAGACCCTCTTGGAAATAAACAGCTGGGCAAGTACCTACATGCTGCGAAACCACAGGCGCAGTGGTTGAATTCTGCTTACCTCTTGCTCCAGGGATGTACTGCTCTGCCTAGTCCAACTACCTTCTGCTTGTTTCCACAAACTTGTAGAAACATAATTACCTAGCACTGATCTGTGTCTCACTTTCAAGTGCTACTGTAAATGCAGGCTTAGAAGGTGGTGGCAGGTAGCTGCTAGTCAGAAAAATAATCTGCATGATGCTTCAACAAAGACAATGCTACCTGGCCTATGAAAAGCTCCTCAGTTACTGAGGTTTGTTTTAAAAACATTTTAATTAGAAACTAATTTTGAAGTTAGAAAATCAAGAAAACTTTTTAAGAACTGCATTTCTTCTACTCTCACTATATAATCCAAGTATATATAGATATACACACGCACAAAATGTTTTTTTAACCATTAAGAGACTTTAGTTTCAAATTACTGTATTAAAAATGTCTATCCTGTCTATTGGCCAAAAGAAAGCAAACATTGGAAATTTCATAAAGACTTGTATTATTAGAATCACAGAATCCTAAGGTTGGAAAAGACCTCTAAGATCATCAAGTCCAACCATTGACCTAATACCGCCATGCTCATTAAACCATGTCTACAAATGCCACTTCTACATGTTTCTGAACACCTCCAGGGACGGTGACTCCACCACTTCCCCAGGTAGCCTGTTCCAGTGTTTGACTGCTCTTTCAGAAAATAAATTTTTCCTGATGTCCAATCTAAACCCTGGCACAACTTGAGGCCATTTGCTCTTGTCCTGTCACTTGTTACTTGGGAGAAGAGACCAACACCCACCTCACTACAACCTCCTTTCAGGTAGCTGTAGAGAGCGATAAGGTCTCCCCTCAGCCTCCTCTTCTCCAGGCTGAACAACCCCAGTTCCCTCAGCCGCTCCTCATCAGACCTGTTCTCCAGACCCCTCACCAGCTTCGTTGCCCTTCTCTGGACACGCTCCAGCACCTCAATGTCCTTCTTGTAGTGAGGGGCCCAAAACTGCACACAGTATTCGAGGTGCGGCCTCACCAGTGCCCAGTACAGGGGCACGATCACCTCCCTGCTCCTGCTGGCCACACTATTGCTGATACAGGCCAGGATGCTGTTGGCCTTCTTGGCCACCTGGGCACACTGCTGGCTCATGTTCAGCTGCCTGTCAACCAGCCTCCAGGTCCTTTTCCACCAGGCACTTTCCACCCCCAGCACCTTTTCCAGCCACTCTTCCCCAACGACACAGTTGGAATGGATATTGTCTCAATTTAACTGAGTGTAAATTGGCTGCACATGATCTGTTTCAGACCAGAAAATGTCCTAAACATCTCATACTACGCATTTTATCAAGATAAAAAAAATTAGAAGTTTCTTCCATTTATATTTTTCAGGCTATTGCATTAATGAATACACTGAAATGAATCTGAAATAATAAAAAGTATTAATATTACCATTTTGCGGGTGGAAGTGATTGCATGTTTGTTACTCCTCCATCTACTGGTACCACAACCTGGACATTAGACAGCATACTAGGCACATTCATAGACTCTGGATTGTACTTATAATCTACTCTCACATCAGTAGTGCTAGCATTACATTTCCAGTAAGTTGCAAGATTCAAGGGAGTGGACTGGATGCCATTGGAAGATACCTGTAAAAGAATAAACCATTGAAAGCAGCTTTATTAAAATATTCCCCTTTTGGGCAGAATTAAGGAATGTTGGTAACGAATATAACTCTAAATGCTGACAAAAATAAAGATAACAATTGACCTCTGAGTCCTTAATCGCAGAATTCTGAAGACTCTTGTTTTAGTCTTGTGTTCTGCCTCACACAAGAAGCATGCTTGCAGCAAAACGACTTTATCCTTAGCAGTTTTGGGCTATACCAATTCAGCTGCCCAAGCAGCCAGCAGCAGAGGGCAACACCTGTCATTATGGGACAGTCAGCCAGCAAAACAGTTCTTACCTATTCAAAGCATTATTTTCCTGCTGCAGGAGTGTTGGATGCTGCTTCTGTAGCTGAGTTTGCGCTACTGCCCTGTTGCGTCTCTATGACCTTCCTAGTCTACCTGAGGAACCTTCTGGTGCCTCTCTTGCCTTTCCTTGGCAGCCCTGAACCTTTCTAACTGCCAGGGCTTCTGCACGCCAATGCCTCATTTTCCCCCCAGCAGTAAACAACTTAAATAGATATAATTCTTCCACAGTACTCACTTCTGCAATCCAAAAAATGTTTGTTCCTTCCATCTTTCTCGGGAATTCTTATGCCTAACATGCTTTTTATAGATGCCAAGATTTTAAACTATATTGGGAAGATGTGGAAAATACAATTTGTATTAATAGCTGGACTGAAAGGTTATTTTGTTTTTTGATGTAGACAGTTGTCTCAGATGTTCATGCAGATTTCAATGTAGGCCTAGCAAATCCCTGTTCTCCCTTTAAGGTGAGTCTGTCTGTCTTCAATTTTCATGAAGGTTTTTTACTGACAGCCTGACAGATGGCAGAATATCATCTCACAGATTCACAGACAGTTGAGGTTGGAAGGGACCTCTAGAGGTCATCCTGTCCAACACTGCTGCTCAAGCAGAGCCACCCAGAGCCAGCTACACAGGACCATGTCCAGACAGCTATTCAATACCTCCATGGATGGAGACTCCACAGCCTCTCTGGGCAAGCTCTTCCACTGCTTGGTCACCCTCACCAGAGAAAAGTGTTTCCTCATGTTCAGAGGGAACCTCCTGTGTTTCTGTCAGTGTCTATTGCCTCTCGTCCTGTCACTGGGCACCACTGGGAAGAGCCTGGCTCCATCCTCTTTACACCCTCCCTTCAGGTATTTGTATACATTGGTGAGATCCTCCCTGAGCCTTCTCTTCTCCAGACTGAACAGTTCCAGCTCTCTCAGCCTTTCCTCGTGGGAGATATTCTTCAGACCCTTCATCATCTTTGTGGCCTCTTACAGGACTCTGTCCAGTATGTCCGTGTCTCTCTCGCACTGGACATCCCAAAACTGGACGTAGTACTCGAGGTGTGGTCATACTTGGAAGATGTGGGGAAGGATCACTTCCCTTGACCTACTAGCAATACTTTGCCTAATGCAGCTCAGGAGACCATTTGCTGCCTTTGTAGCAAGGGCACATTGTTGGTTCGTGTCCAATATAGTGTCCTCCAGGTCCTTTTCTGCCAAGCTGATCTTCATCTGGGTGGCACCCAGCATGTATCAGTGCCTAGGGCTGTTCCTCCCCAGGTGCCTTTCTTGTTGAACTTTATGAGGTTCCTGTCAGCCCATTGCTCCTGCCAGTTGAGGTCCATCTGGAGGGCAGCATGACCCTCTGGTGTTTCCAGACAGTCCTCCCAGTTCTGTGTCATCAGCAAACTTGCTGAGCATACACCCTGCCCCACCATCCAGATCACTAATGAAGCTGTTAAACAGGACTGTAAACTCCATATTGACCCTTGAAGTATACTGCTAGTTACTGCCTCCAACTAGACTTCATGCCACTGACCATCACCCTCTGGTCCTGGCCATTCAGCCAGTTTTCAAACCACCTCAGCGTCTGCTCATCCAGCCTGTACTTCACCAACTTCTCTATGAGGATGCTACAGGAGACAGTGTAGAAAGCCTTCCTGAAGTCTAAGAAGACAATATCCACTGCTGTCCCCTCATCCACCAGGGTAGTCATTTCATCATAGAAGTTTATCAAGCTGGTCAAGCATGCCTTTCCCTTGGTAAATCCATGCTGACTTCTCTTGACAACCTTCTTGTCCTTCGTGTGCCTGTAGATGGTTTCCAGGATGAGATGTTCCATTATATTGTGAGAAGTCACAACATCATATGTTCTCATGTACTACAAGTCATCAGCTACAGCATCCAAAACTTACACTATTACAAAATCAAAGACAGTACAACTACAAACTCAAACAAACCCTCAGTAAAACACCTAAATTCAAGAAAATTTGACTTTGCTAATAAATACCTAAAGAAGCAATGTTTGAAGCTTGCACGCATGGATTCGAGTGACGTGTGGGCAAGCTGAAACAGGTCATGAATCCAAGGGAATGACATGAAGCATAGTACGAATGCACTAAGCCTGAGAAGAGCCTATGCACTGTAAACAGCAACATACCCAGAACTGGTGTGATGATGGATGACAGTTCATCTGCATACTAGCAGGCAAAACACAGTTCTTTTAATTTCTGTGTAGATATCAAATCTGCCAGAGTTCCTTAAAAAATTCCAAAGGGGAAAAAAAAGTGTTTACCTGATACTTTAAAACATCCACATTGTAATAGGATGCAGACGGATTCTGCTCTGATAATTTCTTGAGGTAGACAGTTATAGCTTGCATGTTCATCCAAAAATCCTTGGTACTGGAGTCACTTTGTGACTGATCACTGCAAAGAAAAAGAAAGGTAGGAGTCAGAAGGCAACACTGAGTTTTATGATTTTGGACGTCTAAAAATTAGGATCGGATCTTTCCCCTTCTTCACTATTTCAAGCAAGAACTTGTTCCAATGCTTTAACATGTAATTGTGCCTTCCTAAATACTAAGGCAAATTAACAGCTTGTTGTATCTGGTAAAAGTTCTCCTTCCAGGTTGTGGAGCAGTGAGCTTCCTCCACTGATGACTGCATCACAAGATGGAGTTAATGCTGAATTTGGATTGTACATTTAATAAACCACAATTTTAATACAATTAGGTGCTGTGAGGATGTTTGGGAGGTAAGGTTGAAGTGGTATTTGAAAAGGAATGTTATCCAGTTTGGAATAAAACTTAAAATCATAGCTTGTGTTATTACACAGCTTCACCAATGCACTGAATTAAGATTTGTGCTGTATGTGTTACCATACTTTCATATAGTAGTTGCATAATTTTCATACTGTAGTTGCATTCAATCTTGGTAACAATTTATTGTATCACTTCTATATGTAGGCAAGAGTACACATGACTGCAGAAGCAGAGTCCTGTTTGGGAGCTACTGGAGCATGGTGTTCTGCAGATCAAGAATATTTTCAGCTCTGGTTGCATCAGGTTTACCCTGAGGAAGGATGAATCTTTTAAGAAAACTGACTCAAACCCAAAATTTTTATCACTTAAGAATCAAAGACATCCTCTGAATGTCTGTAGATACAGTGAGGAACTGCATCTATCCCCAAGCAGGAGTGCAGACTGTGCCTGCAGAGTGAAAGCTGACAATGAGCACCTGGAATACCATAAATAGGACCACAACGTGTTGAATGTCCTAGAACAGTGACCGTAGTCTGTCCAATTTACTTAGAATTTAGTTCTCAATACACTGTTGTCATTCATGAAATTTTCATTTTCAGTAAAATATATAAACACTTACTTATGACTTAAGAGGCCTTACTTATGGAGGCCTTCCACAACTTCAGTAAGTGAAACCAGTAGTAAAATCTTTGTGCTGCTTCACAGCCAAGTGCAATTCAAATCAGAAATTCTGACATCACCACAAATATCACTCTCATTAAAAACTCTAATCTCTATAAATACCAAGCAAATGATACCCTTTGTAACATACAATGAAAAGCCAAATTACTACTATACGGGTTTAACTTTGTAAATATCCATTACATGCATCTTTTCTAATTAGATGTGAAGTGCTACACCACTCAGGAACACTAGACATTTTCGCAAAATACACTTTTTCAGTATAATTCATAGTCAGGTACAGCTCTGCTAACATTTCAGTTATGAACTGTCATGTCACAAAGCAACTTAATTTTTTATGAATCATGCATTACATTAAGTATGAATGATCAAAATGAAATAAAATACAAAAGAATAGATGCATATGGTTTGATTCTTTATTTCAGTAATTTAAAATGTAGCATCTAAAAGCATTTTACTAGTTTTCAAATAATTTCTCCAATAAATGAAACAAACTGCTCAGCTGAAACAGATCTCTGCTAAATAATTACAGCTTTTGTAATTTTTTTTTTTTGAAAGAGCTCCAAGTGCTGTGATTTCAACAATTACCCTATTCAATCAGCAGCCTTTTTTCCTAAGAATTCTCCCAAGCATGCTACTGCACACCTGAGAGATACAGTTATGTAATGGATCTGATCTACTCTAGAAATGACACAGCTTAAAAATATACTAGTAAGTGACAAATGAGATGAGGTGTAGCTCCTACTACTTTTCCACTTAAGGCTGCTGTTTCATCAATTAATCTTACCATTGCTACTACTGTATAAAGAAATAATTTATAAAATGCATGTAAAAACATAGCTACATTTACAAAGCATTTTTTATGGCTCCTGTTATACTCAGCACAAATTTCCAGTCCAATAATCAGTGAGATTTTTAATGGTGGCAGTGGAGAGACCTGAGCTGAACAAGATTAATTCAGGAAATTAAATTACGTATAAGCAAATCAACAAGACTGTAGAGAATTCTGATTTACAACTCACATTTTACAAATCATGTAGATTACTATTATATAAAAAAATAATACAAAACCTGTATACAAGTTGAGCATTTGGAAGAATTTGTTCCAGTTTGCTTGTGTTTTTCACCCTGAAGCAAAGCACAGCTGGAGATGGATTGCTGGTGAAGACTTTAATAATCCCACTTGGGAAGGATACTGTCATATCACCAGTAATCTTCACAATACATCTAGAAGAGAATGAAAACATCAGTTTCATTGCAAGTCATTAACTGCCTAGTTTTAATACTAATTTTAAAGCAAACTCTGTCCTTTCACAATATGACGAACAGAATTAAAATCAGAAATTCAATTTCACATGAGGGTAATGTGACAACGTACTGTCACCTTCAACTAGGAAGTCAGACAAAATAAGTAAAGAAAAAAAAGTTTAGCTGGTTAAGCATACAGTAGTCTTGGTGGATATTTTTCAGGCTTTGAAAACGGCACAACTATGCTTAGGCAAGGCCTAAGTAGCATAGTAAGGGATGTGACAGAGGGAATGAGGTGCTTTTAGCTGCCCAGATTTACATGTAGCACCTACCTGACTACGATAAAAACCCTTCTCATTTTCACTGTTCTCACTGAACCCATTTTTGTAAAGCAGGGATATCTGAACTCCTAGTGGGATGCAGGCCGACACAGAGCAATAAGCCACTGTGGTCACTTATACCAGAGAAAAAACCCCCACCCTTTGAATCCCCCTTCTAATGGATATACATTTTCCCCAAAAATATCAAAAGTAAACACAGTGTGTTTTCTTATTGTAACTTATTACATTTAATACGATTCACTATTTAACTAACTTTGTGGGATCTGCTCCTTTAAAGTAGGCGTTAACAGATTCAGTAAGGGCTACTGCAACAGGCAAGGTGTCCTGGTTTCCAAGGCTGACAGGGCTGGGACCACGTGAAACACCTAGAATACATACAGTGTATAGGTTTAATTTTCAAAAAGCTTAGCAACAGATTTCAGAATGGTTGACTAGACCTGTAATTTTCACAAGAGGTTACTACCATCAAGGTCACAGTAGTGTCTGAAGTATTACTTGAAAAGTGTGTAGAAAAATACCAACACAGTACAGTACAATTGTACCATCAAAACACTGCTTAGCAGCCTAAGAAAACAGGACTATCAGTATGACATTATGTAAATGGACAGATATAAGGAAACACATATGAGACAGAGGAACACCGCATTAAAATGGAGCTACTGATGAAAGTGAAGTCAACAGATCCAAAGGAAATTAGACATTGACTAGAACACTTCAAAAAAATCCCTACTGTATGCTTATTTATGGAAAAATGTATGATAAAATGGTCACGGAAATATAAAGAATTCACTTACAGTATGCACGAACTTAAATGCAAATACATTATTACCCCACATAAGTGAACTGCTGAACATATTTCAGCCAACAAAGACTGCAATTCCCAAGCAGAAATTGCTGGAGAAGCCTTCACAGATGCCTATGCCAACACAGTTCCAATGTATAGCTATAAAAATCAACTCAGACCTCATGCTAAGGCTTTTTGAAATGTGTATGCAAAACTGACGAAACCAGTTGTCATGGGATTTTACTTTTCACTAGTTTTCTATATGTATATGTGAATATAAAAGATAATATTGGATGTTCCGTCTTTTTATTAGTGCAACAATGTAGTGGAGCATCTTACCAATTTTTGTATGACTGCTGAAATGGCCTGTACCACGTAATGTTACCTACCACAAAGTAGACGCGATCTTTCTTGCTTCATGAGCAAAATTAGCAATTTCTTTCATTTTAAAAAGTAGAAACAAAATGCTTCTGTATAATGTTCTCATTGCAAACTAATCCTATTTAAAGCTGTGGCTTTGCCTTCTGAGCTCTTTCAGAAGCAAAAAGGAAGTTGGGACCTTGTTCTTCACAGAAGAGGAGACAAATGAAAGAAGCATTAACAAGAGACTAAAAGACAGGAGTTGGTCTAATTCTGCTACCTTGTATCTCTCCATCATGATTTCTTGCCTAAGGTAGTAAAATGTTTAGAATACTTCTCACCACCATTAGAAAAAAAAAAAACTTTGCGCAACATTTAGGTCTCATTAGATTGAAAGTGATACTATAGTCACAAGCGTTCAAAACCAAAAATTCTTAGATGAATGAAATACTATGAAGCTGGCTATAAAACACTGATCTATTTATTTTTTCAATATAAACAGTAGGTTGGTTTTATTTATTTTTTCAGACAATACATGGGTCATGTTTCCAAAGTCTTCTTTCCCTCCCTGAAAACTACCAATAAAAGCTGTGATTCTCAATAGTCTCAGAAATCCATAAACCATGATTTCAAGAAGCAAATGTGCAATAAAATAATGCGTTAATAACAACCAGAAATTCTGTTTGGTGAAACACTGAACACCAGAAATATTCTCCACTAAAGCCAAATTATGCACTCAATGGATATGGCCGTATGGTTGCTGTCTTTTTCCACCAGTTCACTAAGGAATAACAAACAATTGCAGAGCAGATAGGAGGTGATTACCCTGTATTAAGTACACCAGATTGTTTACAGATCATAGAATCACAGAATTATTCAGGTTGGAAAACACCTTTGAGATGATCCAAGTCCAACCATCAACCCTACTCTACCAACTACACCCCTAAACTGCATCTCCATGCACCACATCTAAACAACCTTTAAACACATTAAGGGATGGTGACTCGACCACCTCCCTGGGCAGCCCATTCCAATGTCTGACAACATTTCAGTGAAAAAATTTTTCCTAATTTTCCTAAACCTACCCTGGTGCATCTTGAGTCCGTTCCCTCTTGTTCTATCATTAATCACCTGTGAGAAGAGACCAGCACCTACCTCTCTACAAAGTCCTCTCAGGCAGTTGTAGAGAGCCATAGGGTCTCCCCTCAGCCTCCTTTTCTTAAGACTAAATAGCCCCTGTTCCCTCAGCTGCTCTTGATAAGACTTATTCTCTAGGCCTTTCACCAGCTTTGTTGCCCTTCTCTGCGCTCTCTCCAGCACCTCGATGTCTTTCTGGTATTGAGGTGCCCAAAACTGAACAGAGTACTTGAGGTGTGGCCTCACCAGTGCCAAGTACAGGGCGACGATCACTTCTCTACTCCTACTGGCCACACGATGTATAAATTATTTTTAAATCTTTTACTTGCAATGGCCTTGTGTATATTTTTATATTGATATTTCAAAATCATGCAGAGTAATGGAAATATGTAAGTGATATTCCTATCCGTAAACGACAAATACTGATTTCTTGACTGAAGAGTGAAATTTATTAGGAATAATAACTCTACTTTTACTTTTTTTGGGAACAACAAAGCAAGTACATATACATATACACACATTTCTCTGAGATGTATTTGAGGGACTACAAATGAGATGTCTCTCTAATTTGCTCTGCCCCCACTGTTGGCCACCTTTTGATTCATAAAAATCTATGCGTTCTCCTAAAAACCAATAAATTAAAACAAGCATAACTCTGGAAGTCATTGTTTTGTTGCCTTGCTGCTGAAAATACAATGCAATGCAGTGATATGCAGCTTCAGGATCTTCCACTCCTGCTGCAAGCTCTCAGAGGGATGGGATGTCACAGGGCTGTGCCAAGGCAGCCTCGCTGCATCTCAGGCTGCAGCCAGCCCAGCTCAAGGCACCAGTTCTAGCACCTTTAGCAGTGACAGCAAACCTGGCTTTGATGCCCTGCTACCTGCCTGAGCCCTGACCACCATTAACAGCCCCTGAGCTGTGCTGACACAACAGCTAGTGACACAACCATGTGAACAGTTGCACTGACACACTCAAGGAGGTTGCCAAACTGCATCACTGGTCATAAAAAGGGCACATTAATGAACCTGATCAAATGATTTTAGTTCAGTTTAGGAACAAAGATTCCAACAATTTTATATTGGCTACATGGCTATCACGAAAATAAAATTTATTTGAAGAAAAATTACCTTTATTATGTGTACCTTCAACGACTTGTATTGTATGTAAATACAGAAACATTTTTACCTACTTGTCTTATGAGAATAAGGATTGTCAAAGTAAAAATGTATTCAGTTTACTTGAAAGAAAGCAGTAGTGACAAACTGAAGAAGCAAGACCAAGTTTCAGCTTGTTTGGGGGTGGGGATAGACATTATATAAAAGCGTTTACATCAAGTTTTGGTGATTTCAGCAACATATAGCTTGTTAAGTAGTCAAGCTTTCAAGCTACTTTTATCTGCCAGATACCGGAAACAGCTGGAGAAACTTGTTTCAAAAGAAATACAATTTTATTAGGTGCAGTGTATTAGGATGATTAGTTAACATGTAAATCTGCTTTATGTACAATACCTGGTGGTGTCTCACAAAACTTTTCAATTGTAGGAAGATTTTCAATCAAAAGATCATCCTCTATTACATTTAAATGAAAAAAAAAACATTGCAAGAAAACAAACTATTTCAAGCAAAAATAATGTTAAAAAAATTTATATATGTAAAAATACTTTGCAAATTAAAATAAGGCTAAAACATAAAAAAAACATTCAATTATGGATGCCTTAAAGTTCACTTGGAAAAAGATAATCAGAGTCAACCCTCCATTATTCAGAACAAATGGGGTAAGGGAAACACTGGATTGTGCAAAAGTCAAAAGAATACAGACAGTAGTGCAGAGTATTTCCTCATGTCCCAAAATCATTCAGCTGTCTGTGCTGACCTTCCCAGCTCTCCAGGACTATTTAATTCATATGGTCAGTGCAGATGGAACTGGGCTGGTTTATTTTCACTAGGCCAGGTTAATAACATGCCAAACCTCAGTGTCAGCACACACCTCCTTACCTCCTCCCTCACCTCACAATTTCACTCTGTCGCTGTCTCCAACAACACACACACTCAGAGCTGGGGCTATTGACGCTGCTCCCACCAATTTTTGGTTCTTGGGCACCAGCGCTGAGGCCTGAGGATGTGAGTCTGGATGGACTTTGGCATCCAAAATACCAGTTACCTTTCTATGATGCTTCTCAGAATTTGGGAAACTGGTGGATGTGGAACTGCAGCAGCTAAGACTGGGCTGGGCAGACCTTACTAGCTTTGGTCCTGCACAGGGTGGAAACAGCTGCACTGCTTTCAGTGCAGAACTCCCACTGGAAGCTGTGCAGATGCTACCCTCAGCTCCTGAGCCTGGGCAAGGAATCCTTGCCATCAGTAACATTCACAGGTAACAATGTTAACTCAAGAATCCAAGTTAACTTGGGACTAAAGTAGTAATAGTGTTCAGGAATGAAATACTTCAATTGTGCTAAAGAAACGAGTTAAAATGTCTTCAAACACATTC